TTTAAAAAAAGTATTCTCAACACACTTCTCAGAAGAGAGAACCCATTTATGAGCTACATTCATTTTTTTGTAGGATTTCAGAAAATTTTCAAGCTGTGATGATATTAACAATGGTTGAGGATTTTGACCTTTGATATCGCTTGTATTATAAATAAAAGTGGGTTGTGAGTCTAAGAAAAAAAATCAAAGAAATTTCAACCAAAAGAATTACCTTTGTATATAATCTGGATCACCATAATCTTCAGAAGTAAACGAATTATCATCCTCTTCAGATATAGAAGTAGAGTCTTATGCTTCAACCTCGACCTAGAAAAGAATCTTTCCAATTAGCAATTATTCAGTCTTTTAATTGCTATGAATGACAGAACATCATGATATCTAAATAATCTATTTTAATATGAAACTGTATCTTATCTTTTTCATTGTCTGCTTTGTTGGAAATGCCTTGTCCATTGCTTAATTTCTACCGTTTCTTAGTTGAGTTATCCATTTCTTGCAAAAACAGATTAGACGATTTTTTTTTCAGAAGGACTGTTAAAAAAATCATCTATTTCGTCACTTTTATCATATTCATCCTAAAATATTAAATGCAAAAATTAGTTCTTTTGATTCTAAAATTTAGACAAAGATGCAAGTATATACCTTTTTCTGAGGAATCTTTGATATGACCAATTCAGCGAAAGTTCTACCTTTAATAGTTTTAGTTTCACTATTAATATTTCTAATTCTAAATAATAGATTGTGAACGTGAACAGAGACTGATCTATGCTCACGCATACGTTTTTCATCTCATTCTTTTACTTTTTTGCGATCCAGCTTACCACTCTAAAATTGAAGATTTGTAAATTAACAATATATTCAAGTAGTATACTAGGTTCCATCAGATTTTCTGTTCCATCCCATTGAGTCAACTAATAGTCTTAAACAATAGACAAGCTAATAGGTTGCCTGTGTCCTAACACTAGCTTTGTGGCTCAACTAATAATTTTGAATGATGAGAAGCTAATAGATCCTCGCTACACCACTAATTCTCTCCCACTTTATAATAAAAAAAAATCTTAACACTTGCCTTTCTATATCTATTGAATAGCTTTTGTGCTGTTTCACTCCTTTTTCCTTCCCAATCTTTTGCAATCGTCTCAAGATACTTTATATAATAGTTAATCTTTTTTTTAGTAGTTCTAATTTGTATTTATCTAAAAATCCTTGAATAGATTATTCAGAAGACTTATGATCAAAGTACTTGTACATTTTATTCGATATAAGCTGAAAATCAAGTTATGTTTATAACAAAAATAAAGAAAGAATGTGAATATAGCTGATCAATTTAATAAAACGTAA